TATAGGATATTTATTCCTATACTTCAGTTTCAGTCAAGTGCAGAGAATCATATTGTAGAAGTTATGATATGCAACAGTGATAATGTGCTATACAAATTTGTAAAATGATTAAAAGTTACAAGAAGTATTTGGAACACTACGCTATTCCTTTTTTCCTCAAGTAGGCAACATGGAACTCTGCACTTAATCTAATATTATCTAACATGTTGATTGAAAATTTGAGAAAACTATTATATAGAGGAAGTACAAAATAAATTGGCAAATACGTTATGCAATTCTATGCAGAAAATCAAGAATTGAATATATAAATATTGAATATTTGATTAACTAAAACGGTTATTTTTTCAAGTATTCTATTTACTGTTTGATCATAGGCATAAATTATAGCTTTAGTAAAGGCACATACCTTGGGTAGCATTTAATGGAGGCAAAGGGGGGTCTCATCTGCCAACTGAGAAACCAGCAACAGCCCCGCATCACCTATTTTAGGATGATTAAGTATACTAAGTGCCACTCAGGCACTCAACTGGACAGCAGAGAGCCTTCCACAGGTTCACAAAAAAGGTGCTGCCAATATGACACCTGAGGCCCAGGGCTGTCACTGAATCCCAAGCCACAAACAGTGATGCAGTGAAGGGGCATAAAAATCAGCAGCAAGGGCAAAGATAGCTTTCAGTGGCCTTTCCCAAAGAAAGGCACATCCCTCAATCAAGTACAGACTGCATTTAAACAAAGTCTACCTGGGCTATTATGCCAATGATCATTAATTGCCCACTTAAAGGCCATAATTCATGAAGGTGACATTGTGGCAGGGCTCCAACCTGATTAATTGACCCTCAATTAACATGTCACATTCAACATGCTACAACTAGCACCACAGTGTAACCTAAAAGTTATTTTCACTGAAAAAGAAAATAACTAGAAAAATACCATCCATATATTTACTTCAAAATCTGAGATGGCAAATTTATGTAAGGATACCTGCATTTTCATTGTTCCACAGCTGCGTCTCCACCATCTAACATCTCTATGCAATGCACTATAAAGGATGACAAGCAGCCTATTTATAACCATCTTTGCAGTGCTACTCCGAACCAACCACAAAGATGCACAAAACAACCCAAGAGGTCACTTCCTTGCCATATTCTTTGCTTCCAATGGGTGCAAATGCATATACAGTATACAGCTATAAACAGGATAGCTGATGAACTGCCAGATGAAGTAGCGGAGGCTGTATAATTACAACGTTTAAAAGGTATCTGGATTGGTATATGAATGGGAAGGGTTTAGAGGGATAAGGGCGAAATGCTGGCAAATGTGACTAAATTAATTTAGATCAGCATTGGAATGAAGAGTTTGTTCTGTGCTGTGCATCTCCATGACTCTATTAAGCCAATTTTTAAAAATTAAACAAGAAATCCTACTAAGTTTAACAAGTTATTTTTCTTACATGATATACATCTTTTTAATTTTTTGGTATTTATTAGGTATTTCTCACTCATTCTGCAAATATATTTATGAGAGCTATCGACACAAGTGTCAGCAAGTGCAGCCTTCCATGATTGTCATGTACACATCTCTCTTTGACCTGAACATAATGTACATAGATCAATAAACAGTTCTGGTTACCGAGACATCTCTCTCCGCCTAGCTTCAAACACATTATTGCATGAAACACCCAATATGGATAACAAGGTGCAGGGCTGGATGAACACAGCAGGCCAAGCAGCATCTCGGATTCTCCAGCAGCTGCAGTTCCTACTATCTCTGACCCAATATGGATACTTCTGTTTCAAGAACTAAAATTGAAACTTCCAAAGAGCTGAGAAATCAGCCTTTTGTTTCTCATTACATGAAATGAATGCACAGAGCAAAAGACTTTTTAGCACCTGATGAGCATGGAAGATGGCAAATGTGAAAATCTGTGCCCGTTGGCATGAGTGCACCGTGGGTCATTTTCTTGAAGGCAGTACGGCAATCTATGAGCAATGTGAACTGAAGGCCAACTGATACAGGCCTATTAAAATCTAAAATCACAGGCTAGCTAACCAGAATGTTCCAGTCAGCCTCTGACTCCTGAGGTGTGGGGATATAACACAGCAAACTGGACATGGCTTCAGGACAGTGGTCTAGTGAAGCAAGTCGACTTCTGAGGCCTTCCCTACTTAACTGCCTACACCTGCATCCACAGGGTAGCCTATGAAGAAGATATAGAAAGGTAACTTGGCTGCTGCGTCTATTTGTTTTATTTAGAAGTTTCAAAAGTTGTAAAGATATTGAGATGTACTTTCTCCCTAATTTGAAAGGCAGGCTGCTTCTTCTTCCATGCTGGAGAGCCCACCATCTAGCCGCTAATTGATCACTTCAGGATGAGAGTTCCCCACGTAGTGTGGGGCAACCCTGATGTATCAGATCTGACCGTACGTCCTGCCCCAAAGTCCTTTAGGGAAGAAATGACCAACAACAATGTCATTGACCTTGAACTACCTGTGAATGGATGGCTCACTCAGTTGAAGGGCAATTAGGAACAGATAACAAACAATAGCCTTGTAAGCATCACCAACAATGCCATCGCAGAATTAAAAACAGCGCTGACCTACACCCTGAAATGCATAGTTTTCAATTTGTAAGGATGTTATCAAACTAATGATCTTACATTAATTCTAAAGTTGGACACTCATTAATTCAAAAAGCTTCTATCTCCATTTATTAAAATTAAATATAATTAATACAGTTAGATTATAATTAAGATGAGCAACTTCTCCCTGTAGATGACAAAGTGTCATCAAACATTGCCAAACAACTGTTCATATCTTGAATGACAGATTATGTAACAGAGGCTGTTAGGTTCTTAGATTCACCAGAGAAAGTCACTTGAGCAGTTGCTAGATTGTTTTCTAATCAACCTGTTCAGAATATTATTACACATCTCTGAGCTGCTGTGGTGAGATTCTGGATACTAATCCAGTGACATTACCATTATGCCACTTCTAATGTTAAAAACACACAGCAGAAACCTGTCCATAGCTTGTAAATTAAAATGTGCTCTTTCATTCTAAAGGAATATATGGTGACTAATAAGGAATCAAATATAAGCATCTGTAGGAATGAGGAATAATCCAGTAAAACAGGGTGAAAACTGGGGGACATAGGGAGGAAGGAGGTCATAAAGTGACCCTGGTTGCTATGCATCCGTTCATCTCTCACACAACTGCCACCAATGTCTCAAGCAGCTCATCCAACATTGAGCTCAAACTGATTTTATGATCTAACATTTCTCAACAACTGCATTTTAAAACCCACTGCTCAGAAGCCCATTAGGACATGTTTCCTGGTCAGCTAGATTAGAAGGTGATCAGGCCTTTGGCACCAGGTCAGAGACAGGGGTGGAGAGGAAAAAGGGATTAGAAAAGACTGGGGAATGGGAGATGGGGACGATAGAAATGGGATGTTGGTAATGGTTAGGTCGGGGAAGCACCAAATAGTGGGCAGGCAAGGCAGTTTGAGTTCAGTATTTTAACAGCTCATTGGGGTAACTGTGCGTGCAACTCTCATACCATAGTTTAGGGTTCGTTTACCCCGTGTGTATTGTATGCTAAATTTGAATACGGTTGTTGGGTATAATGTACACCAATACAGAATTCTTCTACACTATCTTTACAAAGTAATGCTGTCTTTTACTTTTACATTATTTTTGATTGTGGACTGAATTGGGAAATGGACTGCTTTTTAACAAAGTGAAGATGGGTTTACTGTACTTTTACAAAGCAAGTTACTGAACCTCATTGCAAGTCGTGTTAATGTTACTCCCTTGCAAGCAGTGGAGAAAGGGGTAAATAGAAAGGACAGCACCAAGGTGTGTATACAATGTCTTATGCAGTACCGAGCGCAAGACAATATCATTTAAAAAATGCAAAAAATGTTTAGATCCAGCGAAGGGGAATATAAATGAGGGAGCAGAAATTGGGCCAACAAGAAATCTCAAGTGGCACAAACTCTGCTGTAATTATAATAATGGTTATTTCGACCAACCAATTTAACCACATACCTTGGAAGCCTGGGGAGTGGAAATAACATGCACTGTGCTGGGCTTGACTCCATTAGGTTTGGATCGTTTGTAAAGAGCAAATCTGCTTTTCCTGCGCCCTCTGTCTCCATTTGGAAGAGAACCATTGTATCTGTGCACAAAACAAAAGTTGCAGTAAATTTCTATTATGAAATAACTATCAAATAATTTGGCCTTTATCATATCATTTAAGATGGCGGCAGAGTAAGATGCTCCAGCTCCTCTGCTCACCAGCTCCATTTCCTTTTTTTTCTTTTTTTCCCCCTCTTGCTGAAGTTTTTCTTCCACACACCTCACCCAAACTTTTAACTTCTTAAAGTACCCTACTTGGAATGGAGAACAGAGTCCAAGACTAGCACAGCATGGGAGATGAGCCACAGCTGTAGGGGCCGAGTCCCATTAGCGAGTCACAGGCGGAACAGGAAGAGAGCGAACCCGGGCGAAGTGCCAGAAGTGAGCTGAGTCCCAGAGCGGCAGCAGAGCAAAACCGGATGCGAGCCGCAGTCAGAATGGTGGGCCGAGTCCCGAAGGCGAGTTGCAGCCAGAGCGAGAGCAGAGCAAATGCAGACGGAGCTGGGAGCTGAGTCGCAGTCACAGCAGAGGCAAGCCCAGGCCAGCCGGGGAGACGAGTCCTGGAGGCAAGTCCTGGACGGAGGCCAGCGCATGGTGGCAGTGAGGCCTCATGTTCTGAAGCCCGGCGGGTACGGACTCAGTGAAAGAGGACCATAACCTGAGTACTTTGAAGACAGAGATAGTAGGAACTGCCGATGCTGGAGAATCTGAGATAACACGGTGTACAGCTGGATGAACACAGCAGGCCAAGCAGCATCAGAAGAGCAGGAAAGCTGACGTTTTCGATCTGGACCCTTAAAATACTAACAAATTTTCTGTTATCTGAGCATTTTTTTGGCCGACACCTATATCCTGACTATTGATTTGTAACCATCCCACAGTCGTCAAGGTTTTTTG